GCTTCCATCCTCTGCTTTAGGGAGCAATAAATAAATACTTACCTGAAGTGCAGGCCTGGAATTCCCTGAAAAGTCCCAGAGGAAAAAAATGGTGCAAAAGACCGTCACAGAAACTTTCCTTCATTTCTCTTGAGAAACAAAAATTCAGCATTTTACAGAAAGTGCAACTGGGCGGGAGCGGTGTGTGTGTTTTTCCAAAGCAGTAGTAGGGATCTGACATTGCAGCTCTCCCTAGCAAAAACAGGAGCTATGCACCCAAAGCCCTGCGTGCTACAGGATTGAAAAGGACACAGGCCACTTTTCTTAATCAAACCAGTGCTAAAAGTTACAGCTTCAAGCAATGTAGGCAGAAACTGACATTTCTTAATAAAGTCAGAGAATCATTGGCAGGGAGAGTGCTTCAGGTTTCTGTGGACCCATAGGCAATAAAGAAGACTAACTGCCCATCAGCCCTCAGAGGTGTGATAAGTTCAGGGTATGTGTAACTGGCTTTGAGTAGTGCCCATTTCAGACCTCTCCTCGGTTTTGTACACCTCTTGCTATCTACCCATGTTCCAGACAACCTACACGAGGCTCTTTTCCTTGCCTCCTTTAATGCTGACTTTAGGGCTGGGCCCTGATAATGCTACCTAAATTCACTTGCATATTTCTGCTCTATACTTTGAATTCATAAGTCATCATGATGCATCAAAGAAGGAATAGGAACAGATTTTCAAAAGTGCTGAAGCTATATAGGAGTACAAGTCACACTGAAAGACCTGTGCTCCTAAATTTGTTAGGCACTTTTGAAAACCTTCCCTTACGTGGCTTGGCCAGCTCTGTAGTTGATTGTACCTAATTCTGCTGGAGCACTAACTTCTCCTAACTGCTGTAGAGTACACTAGGATGTGTGTCTGGAATCTGTAGAAGTCCATTATACATTATGGCTACGTCTAGTCTGGCATGATTTTCCGCAAATGCTTTTAACGGAAAAGTTTTCCGTTAAAAGCATTTGCGGAAAATCATGCCAGACTAGACGTAGCCATAATGTATAATGGACTTCTACAGATTCCAGACACACATCCTAGTGTACTCTACAGCAGTTAGGAGAAGTTAGTGCTCCAGCAGAATTAGGTACAATCAACTACAGAGCTGGCCAAGCCACGTAAGGGAAGGTTTTCAAAAGTGCCTAACAAATTTAGGAGCACAGGTCTTTCAGTGTGACTTGTACTCCTATATAGCTTCAGCACTTTTGAAAATCTGTTCCTATTCCTTCTTTGATGCATCATGATGACTTATGAATTCAAAGTATAGAGCAGAAATACAATAACTAGAGTGACAGACATAGGGTTACATTCAAAGGCAATGCATAAGGATACTGAACCACCTTAAAATATCTTAGACACCCTTAGTTCTACTTACTGATGTATAACAGCGTATTAAATGTGAGATAGATGCCAAGGAGCCAGACGGTATAAAGTCACTATCAAACATTAACTTACACCTTCTTCTCACTCCCTGGTTTGTAAGTTACACTAACTTAGACTCCTTTACCTGTTGTCAAAGCAGGTAAAAGTAAGCCTAAGGGAGGCTAATGGAGGAAATCTGAGCGTAAGACTACCTAACAGACTTCTTAGACATTGCTTCCAACTATTATTATATGATGTTTCACAAGACCCATCAGTGACATGGTTCATTTTCAGAATAAAATTTTCTCCCAGGGATTTAACTACTGCCAACTATTGCCAAGTATTTTGCCAAGGGTGGATGAATAAAATAAGTCCTCCAACCTGATCAAAGAAACGTCAAGCCCCAGTCTCATCCCAAGGGAAGCAGTAACCTAACTGTGACTAGGATAATAGTACAATACTCTTATTTTCATTCCCGGCTCAAATGGAGCTAGCCAGCCTTGTGTGTTTAGCCAGAAACTACCTGTAACATTAGAATTTTTATCATAATCAACCATGAGGTCCCGAGTTCATGTTTCCCACAACCTAAAGCCTCAGTGATTCTCAACACCATACCAAACTCAATGGAGCTGGAAAATCTGAGTTCCATTGGTGCTATACACAGCCATACAGCCATAAATCCAAATATAACCCAATACTAAGAGTCAAATGAGGCTGATGCACGCAGATTTGTTAGATTTAGCACCTCTGACACTTGCATTCCTAGAAGAAGAAAAGAGACAGCTCACAGGCATGTCTCCTTCCTGAACCTCTGCTCATGCCAAAGAGAGCTCCTGTCAGGAGGAAAATGTGCCAGTACAGGGCCTGCTGCATCTACCAGCCAGGATTTGGGTTATGCAGGCAAGATTAGATGCACTGTGATATAATAATACCCCAACTCTTAGATAATGCTTTTCATCCCTAAATCGCAAAGCACTTTACAAAGGAGGCCAATAACATTATCCCCATTTTACAGATGGGGAAACTGAATTATTCTAATCACTGCATCCCTTCACCCTGGTCACTACAGCTCTATGTAGATACAAAATTTGTATTTGCATCTGATCCATGATCTGAAAACATGGCTCAGAAGTAGCCACATGTTTGCAGGGCTCTACTAATTACTACACAAGAAGAATACCTAACTTTTAGTGTTTTAGTAAAAAAGGACAAAGTGGTTTTTTACCCACGAAAGCTTATGCCCTAATACATCTGTTAAAGTGCCACATGACTCCTTGTTGTTTTTGCAGATACAAACTAACACAGCTACCCTTCTGAGACTTAGTAAAAAAGAGTAATTAACATAGAGTACAAACATGGCAATTTTGAAAGGCTGGTGCTACAGAACAGAAGAGAGAATTCAGATCCTATTACAAAGCACTGGGTGGCTTTTTCTCTAACTAGCTAATTAGATACACATCCGTTAAACTACTACAAATTATAAAAAGAGTGAGCTAGAACTTACAGTATCTCAAACAACTCTGAAAATCTCCAATTTCGAACAGGATCCAAGTTCTCAACCTTTATGCCTAGCCCCTTGCTGGGAAGCACACTGCTGAATCATTTAAAATGGCATCCCCACCGTGAGAGGGAGAGAGAGACACCAACTCCACTCACTAACTGTTTATACAGAAACAGTGATAAGTGTTTCCAAGAAGTGGTTTTGAAAATTCCAATGAAATTAGTAACTTTTTTTTCAGTATCTAGGGCATTATTATAAATCACTGACATGTTGCCTCTTAAGAAATGTCCATGACTGTGTTCTTAAATGTTTCTCAGTGCCTTTCTTTTCTTTTTTTTTTTTCTCTTTTTCATCCAAAGGTCACTATGGCTACATCTAGACCGAATTACTTTTCTGGGATACTGGAGGTAATCTGGAAAAGCAACACAGTGTCCAAGGAACGCATCCACTTTAAAAAGTTGCACTCTTTCACCATTCCTGTAAACCTTGTTCCACAAGGAATAAGGGATGTGTTGAAAGAGCACTTTTTTCCAAAATTTGGTGCCGTGTGGACATGCCAAATTTCAGAAAAGCCTCTTTCAAAAGTAAACTAGAAAAAGATACATAATTTGCATAACACAAATTGTGTTTCTTTTTCCGATTTAACATTGCAGTGTAGATCTAGCCTATTTCTCTCCTGTGTTCATGGGACGTCATGCTTGTTTTCTTTTATATTCCTCCTTCTGTCAGTCCCACTCTTTCTTGAGCAAGTCTGTGGATTTAAAACAATTAGCATTTTCAGGCATCTCATTAACTTTGGGCACTGGAGTAGCCAACAAAGAAAGAAAAAGAAAAAACTGTCTTTCCTTGTTAAAAATTCATGTGTCTAGGTCTGGAAGCTGCTACAGGAAAGGATCCAGCAAAGAGAAGAGCTGATGTACCCCTCTGTCTATACTTGTTGCTTTAACAAGATCCAAATGAATCTTGTGGGATCAAATTTATTTACTGTTTATATTACAGTAGTGCCCAGAGGCTCCAATTCCCATTGTTCTAGTTGCTGTGCAAATACATACAAAGACATAGTCCCTGTATTGAATATTTTTAGCTCTTGCTGTTCAAGATGAAAAGGTAGAATATCCTTATCTGAAAGAGGAGGATTCAGTTTCCATGTTTTCTCTAGACACTTACACCACACTTATCCCGTTGGTATTTGAGTCCTGCCTGCTCCTCCCATTAGATCCAGAATCTAAGCTTCTTAATAGAGTATATAGGTTGGCAGAATAGATATTTATCTACACAATATATAATTTCAACACATAATATTGATGTTTATTTTTAAGTATCTTTTCTATTTTTATCTATTTCAGTTTTCACAGTTTTGGGAAATTATGCCAAAGTCAGACAGTAAGGGTACGTCTAGACTACAAGCCTCTTTCGAAAGAGAGCGTCTAGACTGCAACCTCTTCTTTCGAAAAAGTGAGCCGCTTTTTCGAAAGAGCACCCAGGCAGTCTGGATGCTCTCTTTCGAAAAAGCCCTGTTTGCATTCAAGAATACTTTTTTTCGAAAGAGCACTTTCGAAAAAAGGCGTTCTTCCTCATGAAATGAGGAGTACCGCCATCGAAAGAAAAGCTGTGTTCTTTCGATTTAATTTCGAGAGAATGCAGCTGTAGTCTAGACTCAGGGGGAGTTTTCAAAAAAAGGCTACTTTTTTTCGAAAAAACCCTGCAGTCTAGACACAGCTTAACTGTTTAATGAAAGACTGATTCAAGGAGCTAAAACTTTATAACCATTAAACCCCAAATTGTCAACATCAACTGTCAAAACAGACAAAGTAAGCAACCTTAAATTGTACTCCAGTAAGTTCTCAAGCACCATTTTCCACACTGCTTATTTGTAAATTTTTATCATCATCGATGGAAATATTTTTTCATTGGCTTTGTATGATGAAATTGATATTTTCTGACATATCTCAATAAATTCGAATCCTTCATAGCCTAATTATGCTGGAAGAATCCTGTGGACATCCCATCTATGCAGGAAGATCACATTAGCGCTCAGTAGACATTTTAATTTGCTGCTCAGCAGTTCCCTGCAGGCTGATAATTCTGGCATTTTTGTTTTGATCTTCCAGGACAAAGTGCTAAGGGGTAGTTGATGAGAAAGGAAGATGAGCACAATCTTCTCACTCTTACAGCTTGTATGAAATCAGCTTTCAATACCAGATGAGCACAATCTTCTCACTCTTACAGCTTTCAATACCAGACCTTCACCATTCATTATCCAATGTCAACATTCACCACAAATGAGATCTCACTAGTCTGTAGCCATTCACCTCCCTGAAACTGAGTGCTCAAAATTTTGTCATCACCTCTCAGCACCTGTCTCTATGCCAAATGACAGAGAAATCTATAAATCAAGTCTCCAGAGGGAAGAGAAGAAACACTGTCACCTTTATTTCATATTGAATTTTTCTTACATTGTGAGTGTGGGGCAAGCCATGACTTGTATACTGTATGCACTTTATTTTATTTAATAACCAATTCTATTTAAAACTGAGGTTTGGTGTTCAACTCCCTTCTCCAACTTAAGGGCTTACAGGCCACTGCACCCTCCAGGAAAGGGCAATAGAAATGTTCAAGGGTTTATGGAAAGTGCTTATATTGTAGCTTTGTAGTTAGTTAATGGGCAACAGATAAATTAGAAGGTATGGGGTGGAGGGCTGTCTCCTCATAACCATTGGGTGACAGAAGAAATGGGTTTTATAGGTGGATGGTAAAGTGTAGTTTTGTAGGTGGTTGAAAAATTAGAGATTATACTAGAGCCTCAAAGTGGCTATAGAATTGACAGGGATGCAAGGATATTGTCTCATCTTGCAGACAATGGAGCACAGAGGCGCCAGAGTGATAAAGAATTACATTGTGGTTCATGAATAATTTTGAAAGGCTCAGAATATCATTGGTGTCACTGTATTAAGGAGGTCACCACTTCCTCCTTTTGGCATTAGCAAGCACAGGTGATGGTAGACAGCACATTAGCTCTGTGGAGATTGGGCTTTCCTGAGTAAGAGGGTGGATTGAGTGCCACTTGAAGGGACCCTGGCACAGTGCCATTTCTGCTTCTTAAAATCCACTAATGATGAGCACCTACAACAAAATGCATCAGGCAGAGATTGGAGGGGCATTCACATGTAGTAATCCTCCCCCTTTACCCAACGCACCAAGAACTTTTTGGTACACCTGAGAACATTTGTGCAACTACTCCTGAGCTAGCTCAGATTAAAGGTCCAGGCTTCTTCTGAGATCCTTTCACTTTCCCAGCCACATTCTCTGCTCTCTTAACCTTCTAAAGCCTTCTGCTTGCATAAGACAGTAGTAAGCTTTCGTGGCAAACCACCACTTTGGCAGATGCCCATGAAAGCTTATGCCCAAATATATCTGTTAATTTTTAAAGCGACACAGGACTCCTCACTGTTTTTGTGGATACAGTCCTAACAGGGCTACCCTTTGATACTTGTCATAAGTAGGTAGTCACTCTCCAGGAATCTGCCATATTAGGTTATTTTATTTAGCCTTAAAACAACATACCTTTCTTAAGGAGGAATTAATCTTCAGTTAGATAGATGTCTATCAGGGATGGTCTAGATGGTACTGGGTCCTGCCATGAGGGCAGGGGACTCAACTTGATGACCTCTCAAGGTCCCTTCCAGTTCTAGTGTTCTATGATTCTAGTATAAATCACAATAGCTTCACCGATTTCACTAGGAACATACTGAAAAAATCCAACTAAAAAATAACCAAATAATGATGGGATGACAGCTTGAAAGAGAACACTCCTGTAAGTCAGAAGCCCAAAAATGTGTAAAGTCCTAATTTCCAAACGTGACCCAGACACACGAAGCAGTTTTATCTTCTTCATTGAAGGGAGATGTAGACGTGCATGTAGATGTGTGCACATGTCCACAGGAATTTATTTAGCTTCACTGAAAGAAACGTTGCTATCTAAAATGACAGACTGCTTTACTGATGAGGTTGGTATGAGTGCACTGGAATACTGTTTTAATAAATTAACAGTTGCACAGCAGCACATCCTGGTTTTCCTAGTAACTCAGCAAATGTACCTAACTGGCTTTCACTCAAAAGGACGGGCAATCTCTTCCATGTGCCAAATTTGTGATAATTCACCAACCCACCCCGAAGCTGTTAGCAAGAGATGGATCAGAAGATGCACACAAAATCATGCTGTATTAAAAACATTTTTTTCTGCTGTCTAGGGCTAAAGTTACAGATGAAGTTGACTATAAAACTGCTTCAATTCCTGGAAGCTGGTCTAGCTCATTAAAGGCTGAATTTCCATGTCTCAGATACTGGGTTGGAAGAGCAGCGGAGTTAAGGGATCAGTAACTGGTTACAAATTCATTTATATCTAACATTCTGACCAAAGTCCTAACCAGATTGGAATTTTAAAGTAATTCTCACCAAACAGCTTTATAATTTGGTCACCCATGTAAAAACACTAGTTTCAGTCCCATTCCCAGAAAGTCTGCAGCCAAAACAGTCTCTTCTACCTAAAAGCTGTTCCTCCAAGTCATCCAGGTCAGACTTCAAGGCACCATGCAAAAGTTTTCACTGCCACATGATCCCAGTTCTACAGACAAAGAGATAAGTTCAGTTTCAATTGTGGTACACTTAGCACCTTTTGCTAAGATAAATTCAGTATCAAGGAAAACTGCTGCTTAATTCTCCCTCTTCTTCCCAAGCTCAAGTAATTTAGCATAATAAGCCTTGTAATGGACTTCATGGAAGGTACTGTACAGATGGTCCCTGCTATTAATGTTAAGTTTCCTTAATTAAGGATAGGCCTTGCATACTGTTTGAAAACAGTTTGTTCCCATTGTTAGAGAACCATAACTACTATTTATTTCTTCTGTACAAGGGCTAGATGTGGGTGAAGTTGAGGTGATTGAAATATTTAAGTGTAGAGATTATTTTTGTTAAATAAAAGTTGTGAGAAGGAAAAGACTAAGTTCCATTTGTTAATATTTCTTCCACTTACAGATGGTTGGGAAGATCTTCAATGAGTCATAACCTTGGTCTTTTCTTCCATGAGCAGCAGCAGAACTGGATAGGAATTTTATGTATTGCACTCAATGTTAGTCTTCACTAGCCCACCCTAAATTCAGTAGGAATGTCAACCCCATCCCATTTAATAACTCAACCTTATTGTGAGCGACTTATGAATTTGGCCTATGTCCACAAAGTAAGGTTGCCAGGTGTCCGGTTTTCTACCGGACAGTCTGGTATTTGCACCATCTATCCAGTAGAAAAATTCAGAAGATACCAGACATGTGCAATGTCCGGTATTTTCTGAATTCCCAGCTGGAGGCCAGATGGAAGCCTGGTGAGGGAGCAGGGCCTCAATTGGCTCTGGGAGCCCTGTGGTCGCATGCAAAAGCTGGGCAGGGTGGGGGCCGGGATGCCCAGCCACTCCGCCCGCCCGGCTTTTGCACGCGACCAGAGGCTCCCAGCACCAGTCGCGGCCCTGCCTCCCAGCTGGGAGCCTCTGGCTGTGTGCAGAAGCCGGGAGGGGTG